AGTATTATTGTGACTGATATTATAAGAATTAGCATATCATGTGAGCTGTCTTAACTTCAGGGCATGTTAGCAATTTCAGCTACTCGGTCTTCAAAGCATCTTGGAGATGGGCGAATGCAATTTCCGGGGAGGAGGGGCAGCAAGTTACAGCATAAAGCTAAGACTTGAACAAGATGACAGGTTGGCTTTAAGTTAGTGTATTTTGGCTACTAGTACTGTGCTTAGACCATTAGACTTCATTGTCATAGCCTTAGTATTTCTTCATATATACTTGTGGCCAGCTTTGCTGTGTTCCTGTCTCTTGACTTTTAATGTCAAGATCACATCAGGGTTTGAGGAGCATTTGGGCACTTCTAAGATCAACAATTATTAAAAATCAGTAGAAGTTCTGGAAGGGACTTAGACCTGCTAGCTTTGGGGCACAAGTTGATCTCTAATTCTTGGAATGTTAGAAAGATATTTTCACAGGGACATCTTGTCCTTTGAGTGGTTCTGTAGGGTATTTGTACCGGAAGCATACTGAACTAGATGATGGAACATTGGTCCCAACCAGTTCTTTTGTTCCTAATGGTATCAAGATTGGTGTGTGTTTTTAGGGCCTGGGATTGCAATAAACAGCATTAGTGTGTCCCCAACCTTCTGTGCTACGGGCTCAGAAGATGGCTATCTGCGTCTGTGGCCGCTGGATTTTTCAGCAGTCTTCTTGGAGGCAGGTGAGTAGACGTTAGATCTCTTCTGCACAGTTTTGCATCCATGTCAATTCTGATGAAGCTGTTATGGAGGGAAGCAGGAATTCAGTACTAAGATTCCACATTCATACCTAAGCTGTTCTGAAAAGCAGTGTTTATTCTTTTGTGGACTTTTCTTATGGTGCCCCATCAACAGGCTAGACCTTGGTCTGTAGTAACTGTGGCATCCTGGAGTGACAAATTCAAGACTTGAATAAATTAGATTCGTCTCTTTTAAGGGTAGACCATGTCTCTCTTGACTTCTTGGAAAAAGGCAGGAACCCTTTGACCAAGAAAGAATATTCAAACCTCACTTTTCTGCACTAGTCCTTCATGCTTATTGCATATCTGTCCAATGAAAACCTGTGGGAGAAGAATAAGAGTGCTTTAGCTTTCCTGGAATTAAATGCAGTGATGCTGGCCACAGATGCTTGTGGAAATGGCATAGATTTGTGTACAAAGGCTAAAGCCTGAGTACAGCTAGTCTCAGAGCATGTCAGGAAGCACAGCCCATGAGAGTGAAAATACATGGGTCTGTCCTGGTCACTTAGCTGTGGTCTGGATCTACCACTGTTTTGGTCCTGGGATAGTTTAGTAACTAGTGTGTCTATTTCCTCAGAGCATGAAGGTCCAGTGAGTACTGTTAGCATCAGTCCAGACAATCTCAAAGTTTTGTGCACTACTTCCACTGGGAACCTGGGCTACCTAGATATACAGTCCCGGGACTACAGCACGCTCATGCGCTCTCATACCAACTCTATTTTGGCATTCTCTGTGGAGAGACTCCGGAAGCAGATGGCTACAGTGTCCCAGGATAACACCATTCGCATCTGGGACCTAGTGTCTATGCAGCAGGTACTAGAAGCTCCTTTTCTTAGTGAGGAAAGATAGTTAAAGTCAGAACTTTACTTTGGTGGTAGAGTTGTAAAGGAGAAACCTTCCCATTTTTTTTGTCTCATCTAACTAAGAAATCTTCACTTTAAAAGCAATTAAATGTACCCCACATAAGATTTTTTTTCGAAACTACAAAAGGGTTTTTTTTTAGCTTAATGTAGCTTCACCTTAGTTCTTTAAAGGCAAATGTTTACAAACCCTGCTTGCTCTTTTTTGTTTCTGAGATATCATGGATTGACATTATCCATAATGATGGGGTCCTGTTCCAGAACCTATTCAAGTCCAAGGAAAGACCATATCCCAGCTCAGTGCCATAGCATGTTTGTGGCCTGGGCCAGTGCTTAATGAAATCAACACAAAACTTCCGTGGCTTGTGTTGATTTCCTTAAGCTGGGATATGGGTTTACCTCACTGCATCACATACTCTTGCCCAGTACTGCATCAGACAGATAGCTCACCTGTGTGCATGTATCTTCCCAACAGATGTATGACTTCACTGCCTCTGATGAGATGCCATGTGCTGTGGCCTTTCACCCTTTACAACAGATCTTTGCTTGTGGGTTCAGCAGTGGAATGGTGAGAACCTTCAGCTTGGCTGCCTCCGACCTGCTAATGGAACACAAGTATGTTTGCAAAATGGGTAACCGTACTTTCATATGCATGGATCTGAATGATGCGAGTCATGGTGACAAGTTAAAGCAGGATTTCCATCCACATGAGTGAAATCTTAAGAGCTAACCTAGGTGTTGGACCAATAATGGAAAAACACATTGCTTAGATTTAGCTGTCTCACCAGGCAAGCTATGGTCAACTGGTTTTCAGAGGTGAAAAGCTTTGTAGTGTCATGGCTATAGATTATTATTTATTTACTAGCCAGGTGTCTGTCAAGAATGATGGGGGGTGGGGCTGGGGTGGGACAAAGACCTGTCTGGCCCCCAGCCTGCGCTTCAAGCCTGGCCCTGTTCTCTTGCATCTCTTCAGGGCTGGGGCCAGCGTTGCACCCCCACACTCCAGGTCCACGCGGTCTGCATCCCTCTTCCCCCTCCCTTCCACCTGTTGGCAGGGCTCAGCAGTGGCGGTGGGGTGCCATCACCATGCCCCCCCCGCCCTGGGGACTTTTTGTGGGTTGGGGTGGCAGCACCACACACCCAGCCATTATGGAGGACGGGGACATAGTCCCACATCTGGCTCCGCCCCTGCTTCTCATCTGGTCAGGGAGGGGGCAAATGGGTCCGCTGCGCGCCCCCCCCCAGGCAGTTGTCGGCATGGTAGCGATGGGGCACCGCCACTAGGCAGGGAAGGGATCGGGGGGGAGTGGGCAGGGCCGGCAGGGGCCGCCCCCCCCTCGTTCCCCCCCCCCCCCCCCCCCCTGCCAGCTTGTGTCGGCGTCTGGCGGCTCCGTATCCAAACCCTACCCCCTGCTTCTGGTCCAGTTGGGCAGGCCAGTTCCCCACACCCTCCCCACCCATTGCGCCGGGGCAGCTTTGCCACCACTGCTGCTTCAGGGCTGAGCCTGCTCTCCCCGCTGTCCTCCATCACCGTGGGCAGCAGGGGATGGGGGGACCATGGCCAGCTGTGCTGGCCTCAGCCCCTGCGTCCCTGCAGTCATGGCGATGCTCCGCAGATCCATCTTGTGGCCAAATGCTCCTGGACCACTCTGATTGGCTGTTTGTCCACCAATCAGAGTGTGAAAAAAGCGCTGTGAACAGACAGACAGACTAAGCTTTTCATCATTTTAGAATTTATTAATATTCAGGCATGATGAGCCTGAGACAGCTTTGTCTTCTGGGACTTTCCAGCTTGGAGAAAGGTGACTGAGAGAAAGGAATTGAGATAATGGTGTCTTAGCCTGATAGGACTGTGTTTGGAGGCAGAAAGCTCTGGGGAACACTTGTATGGGGAAGTGGTCATCTAAAGGATGCTCAAAAGAGAGAGAGAGTGTGTGCGTCCATTTGTCTGTCCCACCCAGGTAGCTATTGACATAAGCCCCATGCATGCTGGCCTGTCTCCCTCTGGCCTTGGGAATAAGAATTGCAACTGTGATATACCACCATGGGACACAATGAAGTGGGATTCTCTGGCTGTCTGTGATGGTGATTCTAGTTTCCTCTGGTCCCAGGCCACCTGACAGCAGTTCACATCAATCTATTTTGCCCTGTTTCTTTCCCTGTTTTATGTGTTTTCTGTGTTGTATAGGCAGCACCGTGGTGCAATCACTGGTCTGACCTTCTCTCCAGATGGCAATTTCATGTTCAGTTCCTGCTCACAGGGGACTCTGGCTCTTTATAACTGTGCCACAAAAAAAAGCCACATTCTAAGAGTCCTGGGTAAGATTTCTATATTAAAAAGGTCTTGTATCCTGTCAGTGATTGTCGTTATGGTTAACCAAGCTCAAAATTCCATGAAGAATACCTTTCTCATCCATCTGGGGCAAATTAGTTGCATTTTTTCATGCATATTAACACTGGTCTAGACCTATTGAGGATTTGTTCCACTATAATTCTGTCTTCCAGAGGTTGGTAATGGGGATGGTGACATTTAAATTATCTGAATGAGCTGGAGTTAAATATATGTGACCTTTCAAATGTAATACCTGTTCTTAAAATTTAGCAATCATAATACGATAAAATGCAGAAGTTTCAATGGATATTTGGGCTCCATTATGCAGCTTACTGTAAGAATAGTGAATGGCAGCCCCCTCCCCAAAAGAACTGGCAGACAAAATGGACAAACAGTGGGAAGGGAAACAGCAATACAGAGAGATCCAGGGACTTGCCAGGGTTCACACAATAGGTTACTGTCAGGGCTGCTAAAACAACCCAGATTTACTTACTGATATAGAGCTAGTGCTTAATTACTGGCCCCTGACAGCTCCATTTATTTTCTAAACAATCTAATGTCTTAAATCTCCAGTGGCCTTTTCAGCAACAGATTAAACTGTGGTGGTATTATTTTTAAGATTTTAGACTAGTGGTTCTCAAGGCACCCCTCTTAGCTTTCACTTGTTTCTTGACCACAGAAAAATAATAAAGTAGTTCTTTTGTTACAGAGAACTTGGAACAATCATAGTAGGTCAGAATGTTTGTGGCATTATGGATTTCTATTTGAAAGTTCTGGGTTTATCTTGTGAATCATTTTTGTAGGTATTTCCACACCTAAAAGTGATAATATTGCAAAACACCCTACAGCACCGTTTTAAAAGGATCTCACAGCACCCCAACTGCAACACTCTGGTTGAGAATCACTGTTTTGGATGTTTCATCTACTGACTAAAAAATGACTTCATTGCACTAGAATTTTCTACCCGTTTTCTTTTTGGCCAGTTTCAGCCATTTAAAAACTTCACGAACTACCTATCCATGCCAAAAGCTGTTTATCCTTGCTGAAAAGTTACAGTAAAATCCAGCTTCCTTCATTTTGTAGTCCAATGGTACAATGCACCTCAAATACAACATATTTGCTTAAATCCAAGCTACACATTGAAACCTCAGCTTGCTCCAAAACTTGTTCTGAATTTGGAGATTTAAGATCTGTTTTTAGTGTTTGGGTAATAGGTAGAGGTGCAGCAATACATCAGTCCCATATCAGATCAGCACCAATATAAGGAAAATTGACAGCATCAGCAATCGGCTTTTTTAGGCTGATGTGGCCGATTTAATGTTGTTGATAATTACCCCGTGCATGCGTGTAGCCGCAGTGCAGCACGCAGGCAGCTAGAACCGCAGCCTGGCAGTGTGGAGAGCAGCGCCAGGCTGGTAAGTCTGTTGTGTGGGGAGGGGTGGTAAGGGAGGTTGTGGGGGGCACAGATTAAGGCCCCGGCAGTGAGGAAGGAAATGGGGCTGGGACAGGTGCTGCACAGCCAGGGTGGAGCGGGGCATGGGACGGAGTCACGGTTATCCAGGAGACGCAGGGAGGGGGGGCAGCTCTCATCGTTACTTGCACTCTGGGGCGGAGGGGCGGGTACCCCCTGGATCTGTGCACAGGACAAAGGCTGGGCCTGTGGCTGCGCTGGACTCTTGGGCTGGGCTGTGCTTGGGGCTGGTGGCAGTGGTGCTGGGAGGGGAGCTACGAGGGGGCTATGGCAAATTCTGGTTTTGCCCCACAGGCGGAGCCCTGGCCCAACCTAACCCCCCTGCTGAAAAGAGCCTTCCCTCACCCCATGCACAGATCTGGGGGGAGCTGCTCATGGCTCTGTCCTGTGCCTCATCACAGGAACCTCAATCTGCCCCCCACCACACCCTTCCCTCCCCCTACCCCATCCCTCACAACAGATTTACCAGCCCGACACTGCTCTCTAACCTGCCCAGCTGCATATCAGCAATTGGATCAGTATCAGCTGATACGGCCTGTTTAAAATCGACTATCACTATTGGCCCAAAAAATCACTATTGGTGCACCCCTAGTAATAGGTGTTCAAATCTGGAATCTTCTAAACTAGAGATTGCCCAGGACATTGGATCACTACTGACCTGCAGAAAGGAATACCCTCTTCCATATCATAGATCCTGTGCAAAAATGAATTTCATCTTGGCTGTTGTTCACACTCAGTCTGTTCTTCTTTTTGCTTATCTTGTTAACCCTGTGTCTTACTGCTTCCAGGCAATGTAGTGTCCCAAGATGCTGACTACAGCCCTAATGCCTTGGCACTGAGTGGAGATGGACATCTCTTAGCCTTTGTGGGTCCGTCCAAGTACACTGTGACTGTCATGGATGCCTGTAATCTAGATGAGGTAAATGGCAAGGAGTCACCAAGTTGGGAAGGAAAATAGGATGGGAGGAGAGCCTTTCTCATCTAATGCCTGCTGAATGCTTTGTGGGGGTGGGGCTAGGGAAAAGAGTTGTTGAATATAGACTCCATCACATGGGACATGATAATGATTCCCTTGCCCTTCCTTGTGTCTAAGAAAGTCTCTCTACATGTCCTATCCTGCATAGCAAATGTGTGAAAGTGAGTTTGTAATGTACTTTTTATTTTCCCCTTTCATGGGATAAAAACATCAAATTAAAGAAGCCTTCCTTTCCAAAGCCACCTCCAATCTTATTGGGGCAAAAAGGGAAGCTGGCAAAAAGCCCCACAGATCATGGCAGTTTCTGTGCCCTGTTTATGAACTGTCTTGTTGAGTAATGTATGCCTGTTTTGCCTGCCCAAGGCAATCGCTTAACCAAATGGCTTGATCTTGAGAAGACTAACAGAAAAAAACAAGGTACTTCTTTAGAGGCCTTAGATAATAAAGCAGTAGAAAGAATGATATCAAAGCTATCCTCAGATTTCCCTTTGTCAGTTCTTAAAGGTTCCCTGCTGTCTGGATCTTTTTACATAAAATATTCTTTCCTAGAACCTGGTGTTCAATAGCTTCTTGTTTCACAGCTACTGAAAATAGACATCAGTATCCTAGACTTAGACAGCACAAGCCTGGACTCTGCTATGAGAGTCTGCTTTTCTCCTGTGCCTGTTGGCCAGCTCTTGGTGTCCACTGCCTCCAACAAAGTTCTTGTGCTCGACTGTAAAACGGGACGGTTGGTTCGAGAGGTAATGCTGCGTGGTCTCCGGAGTGTTCGATGGTCTCTATGTTGCCTTATTCAGGGATCCTGGTTTTCTCTGTTTAAAAATCCCAGCTTCTCTGATAAAAATCCAGAATTCTCTGATTAAACCCCCAAAATGAGTTGAACACAATGTTTTATTGATATATTTACAATTTTAAAACATTTTGGAAGCCTACAAGTGCTGCAGACACTATAATAAAATAAATTCTAAATACCTATATATTTTGGGTTTTTTATCATGGAAAACCAGAGCTCCCCCTGCCCTCTTTGCTCACCAGGCCAAGCCTTGTAGTGCTCAGCATCCCTGATATGCCGGTGCCCTGCCCCTGCCCTTTCCCTTCACTCCCAAGCCTCAACCCCCTCAGCCCTGTTGGTGCCCTTCACTCCTGACGCACAGCCCCCTACCTCCAGCCCCCCAGTGTGTGAGGAAGGGAGTGGGTGTGTGGGGAAGGTGGGTGTGGGCACAAGCGACACATGGCAGGGACAGGTGGGGCACAGGTGAAGGGGTGGGCACATGCCCCTCTAAGACTTCTGTGCCCACAGTGGCAGTAGGTGGGCCAGACCAGCTCCAGGCAGGAGCCACCTCCATGGCTCAGCAGGCAGGACCGGGTGTAGGACAGAGTGCTGCACTGCCGTGGTCACCAAGGTCAGGCGCGGCAGTGGCAGTATGGAGTTTGTGCACCCCTGCTGCTACTAGGCAGGCAGAGGGAGCCTTACCTTAGTGGCCATCGTGGCGCACTGCTCCCTTCCACAGTGGGTCCTGCCCGCTGGGCCGCGGAGGTGACTCCTCCAGAGCTGGTCTGGCCAGGCTGTAGCCCTGTGCCCTGCTGTTGGTACAGAAATCTGGAGGGGGGCGTGTGCCACCCTCCCCCCACCACCTCATCACCTTGGCCTCGCTAGCCTACCTTAAGTCACCTGTGCCTTCTTCCACCGCCCCCCAACCTCTATAGATTTACTTGGGGGGAGCTGCTCTCTGCCATCCTGCCTGGCTGCCACGTGCGTGTGTGCGTGCGCACATGCACATGGTGCCCCCTGCATCCCACTGCTCCCAGCTGCAAGCACCCCCTTTCAGGCTGGAGCTCTGCCAGCCTGCAAGGGGAAACCCATGGTTTCCCAGGTTTTCCTCCTTTTAAAGGAGAAAAACCTGTCATTTTTTCTGTTAAAGGAGAAAATCCACATTTTTCCGCAGCAGTCGGAAAACCCAGATCCCTGCTGCTAATGTACACCTGAGAACCCAGGCAGGATTCTGTGCTGAAGTCCGGGCACTCACAAGGTTTTATTTAAAAAAAAAAAAAAAAGAAAGAAAGGAAAATGAAAAACTTATAACCAGAATGTAGTTGTCTATAAAGCTAATGTTCCACCTGGTCTCTCTGAGTTGCTCATTCACACTTCTCCTGTCTCTGAAGAGGTGAGCATTTATCCAGGTTTCAATGTTTAACAAACCTTGCAAGCTGCACATAATTCAGAATGGGTTAAGACTGGAAGCATTTGGAAACCTTTTATATCTGGGAGAGTTGGGCATCTCTGCCTTCTTCCTGCTCCTGTTTTAAACTTTTTTTTAGCCAGAGGGTAAAAGTATTCTTTAGTATTCCCATGTCTAGTCAGATATTTTGAAGCATCTGTCCCTATCTTTTCTCTCTCTATTTAAGTAAAGACTAAACCTAGCGATGGAAACAGCTGCCTTGGGTAACAGTAATGCTGCCTTCCCTTTTTTACAGGTGTCTCATGTGCATAAACAGTACTGTTCTTCACTGGCGCTGAGTGAGGATGGCAGGTACATGCTGACTGCTGGTGACAGAGTTATCAAAGTGTGGGACTATCGGATGAGTTTCAATATCAACTTCCAGGTACCGCAAGCAAGGGAAAAATTAATGGAGCCTTAGATTTTTTTTCAGTTAAAGCTACTACTAATCCTTCCTGAGTAGAAAGCAGCTAACTTGCTCTGCCTTCCTTTGCTATTGTCCTCAATTCTGATCTGTCCAAGACCTGAGTAGTCCAGTCCTGAGTTGTGGTTCCCAATAATGACATGCCATCTTGGTCTTGTCCAGTGAGGCATGGACCACCAGACTCATTACATCTTACTACTATTACTTCTGTGATACTTTATAATCATGAAGTAATTCGTGCAATCAGGACATCACAGGTAGGTGAGTATTATCCCCATCTTAGAGATGCAGAAACTGAGAAAGAAGAAGCAACTTGCTCAAGAGTGCACAAGAGTTGGGCAGTTAGGATGAGGACTCGTGTTCTCCTTGACCACTATGACTTCATTTTAAGACCAACCCTCAAACTAAGAAGCTCATATCTGGTGTGTGCATCCTCAGGATATATGTCAAGAAACTTCTGTGAGGCAGTTGTGGACAAAAGTTTCTCTGTGCTATCTGTACACATAACAATACTAAAGAGCCCTGTTCTGTGATGTAAGACTGTTTATCTGCTGTGTCTGTGTTAAGGGAAAACATGGGTGTTACAGTAAGAGTATTAAGGTAGAGTGATTAAGCATTAAAAGTGTAAAACTCACCTTTCCACTGTGCTTTCCTCCCAGGTGTATATAGGCCATTCAGAGCCAGTTCAACAAGTGGCCTTCACCCCTGACCAACAGCATGTAATCAGTGTTGGAGATGCCATCTTTCTTTGGGACTTCCTAGCTCTGCCCGCTGAGCAGTTGCCCAAGAATGAGTAAGAACACAACAGTAAAAGGAATGTTTTCCATTGTCTCTTCTGTATTCAATAACATCATTGTAACTCTTGTATTTATTACCTTTTCAGTGTTCACCTCTCTGAGTCCATTCTGCCTCCCCAGGCTGGTGAGTTTACCTCCTTCATGCAGTTATGCTAATTGGCATATCAGCCACTTTTTCAGAGCTATTTTGAGGGTGCAGGATAGCCTTGGAGGGGGTGTAAAAGTGGATTTTAGCACCTTTGTTAAGGATGTCACTAGCTAGGGGCTGAGTGTCTGTTTGTGTTAGGGGCCATTCTGAAGTTGAATGTCTCTACCTGGTTAGTGTTTCTTCTTGTCATAGAGATAAATGCTGAGGAGGACAAATGCAGAGTGGGTCAGCCAGGTTAACAGGTTTTTTCTCATCTTTTTTTCACTCATCTCTTTTACTGGTTATCTCCCTCCTAATCTTCTCTACTACCTCCATTTCTTTTCCTTTTCCCCTCAGTCCAATATCTCCTTCTTATCTGTCCTCTCCCTGCGTTTTCCTCAAGGATAAGATGCTTGTAAATGACTTAATGTGGGTATGAGGAATCTGAAGAGATAAGCATGTAGACATTTCTGTTGTTTCAGCCTGCTTCAAGAGGATGCCCAAAGCAGTTACCTAACCCCCTTTCTGTTCACAGAAAACAGCCCTGAGAAGCCAAAGAGTTTGCTTTCTGGGGTCAATGAGATACCCCGACAGTCAGCTCCTCTTCCATCCCGAGCATCACCTCCATGTTTAGATATCAGCTCAGTCCACCACAGGGGATGTCATGGTAAGAAGAGAAGTCTCTTGCAGGGAGGGGGAATTAAGCTTGCCTTGGGGAATGCTCCCTGCATGGCTGAACAGATGGCCTGGCACCTCTTCCTTCCACCTCTTTCCTGTAAGCCAAGATGAGTAACTCTCAGGAGTCAGGACTTCAGGCAGACTTACTTTCCCCCCGATTGGCCCTGGTTAAAGTGGGCCTGGCTGCCAGGGGCCTAACTCCCCCCAGCTGACCCCAGTTGTCTTCCTGGGCATCACTGCCTGCTTGTAAGTAGCAGGTTTTTCAGAGCCCAGCAAGCTACTCAATGCGACAAATGCCTCCCTATCTAGTTTTGGGCTTCTCATATCTTATTCTTTAGTTTTGTGGTCCTTGCCTTTGATTCCTAGTTTCCCAGTTCCTAATTCCTGCCTGTTTTGTTTCTAGTGTCCTGGGTCCTGTGTTTTGTTCTTGGTTTCCTGTTCCCTGGGTCCCACTTCCTGGCTTTGTGGCTGTTGCTTTGTTCCTAATTTCTGTTCACTGGCTCCTGCCTGCTGTTATTGTTCCGGAAACTAGCCTTGGCCCCTCATGCTCCAGGCTACCTCTCTGGCTCCTTGGTCCCTTGTGTCCTAGACTCCAGTCCAGACCTCTGTCCTCTGATAGCTGACTCATGGCTCAAGGCTTAGCCTGGCAGTCACCCACATCTCAGTCCCATTTAGCTATATTTTCTTGCTCCGGACCCCCTGGCTAGTGATACCAACCTGGTTCCTGCCTTCTGTTCCTGACTTCTCTCTCCCCCTCTCCCCCAAACTTGTGGTTCTACCCAGAGTTTGTCCTGGGTCCTTATAGACCTCATCCTCATGACCTGCCTGCTCATTATCCCCAGACTAGTTGGGACCTTTGCTTCACTGATCTGGTCTGTTCCTGATAACCTGGGTGGCCAAGGGTTGTCAAGCCTCAACTGCCTATGTCCCGGTCATACTCTGACACTGCATGTTCTCTTTCCTAGAGCAGGCATAGCCAGCCTAACAATGCCTGGTGCTTTTGGATGCCATTTTCTTCCCTATGATGTTCTGCCTACTGAGCTAGTGGCCAGGAGTTCTTGGGCAGTGGTGCACAATCTTCTTCTGGCCCTCTGGCCTAGGTGAATGGTGCAGGGTTGATCTGTGGCAGAGTTAGACTGTGAACTGGATTCAGTGTACATGGTTCATCTGCAGGTGTAAAGCAGCCCGCTGGGTGAGCCCCACATGTCACATGCAGTCACGGAGCAACTGATCAGGCCCTGGAGTGACCCCACACATTGGTGTGATCTGGCATGTAGGGTTGTGACATCTGGCTTTTGGGGCTCCCTACAGGTCTGGAAACATGGCAGTAGGGGAGCAGTGACACCATTAATTGCTGCAGCTGTTGAAGTGCTGCTACTGCTCCCCTGCTGCCAAATTTCTGGACCCATGGGGAGCCCCACGGGCTGCATTCAACCCATGGGCCAGCAGTTGAGCACCACTTTTCTTGGGAGTTGCTGTGAATACTTCTGATTATTGGCCCTTTTGTTAGTGCTCATGTTTGTCACATGTACAGCAGAAAATACCTCCTTTACTTTGCACTCCAAAAGGTGCACTGTAGCTCTGAGCCAAGGGCTGCTTTGCCTGCAGTCAAAGGGTCAGCCACTGAAAATCACAAAACAACTCTCTTCTCTTTTCCAACAATTTCTCTCCAGATATTTTCTCTGAGTCAGATGAAGAAGTGGAAGCAGATCTTCAAGGCAGTAGCAGAAGAGTAGCAAATGGAGACAGAAACCACTCGGCCCTCATCATGGAGGGACCAGTCAAGAGTGAGGAGCCTATTGTTGTGAGGTCCAAAGTGAGTCAGGAGTGTTCGAGGTCTCCCAGTCACACCGGAAATGGTAAATCGCAGGTGTTCTGGTCCATTGACAAGTTTTGCTCAATTATGGGAACAAATATAGCATGAGTCTGTAAGACGGTGTGCTTCTGTCCCTGAAATAAATGGGGAAAGATTACTGGAAATATATGCATATGAAGATGTAAGCAGAGTGGTCACATAGCATTCTGCACAATGTCAGTAGAAACATTAATAGCCTGCCAAGGGTTTCTAGTGGGGATGTGATCCAAACCTGAGATCAAATGCAGTATATGTTCCAGAGCTCCCAGGTGCTGTTTTTCCTTGTCTTGCATGTGATTTACCAGAGGAACAGCATTAAGGGAAGTTTGTTTTGGGCTCTGACCATTTGTTGTTTCTCTGGCTCCTCCTCTCCTGCTGCTTCTAAGCATGCCAGGTGTCCCCTCCACCATGCTGTCTTCATTGTCTTTGAAGTTGCACTTTCTACAAGCCAAGCTAAAATTAAAGCTCTGACTGTTTCTATTAATAGAAATACAGCTTCAAAGCTGTAACAGCTCATGACTAGCTGCCAGGAATGAATGGCTGCCAGTGCACAGAGCCTTGGATAGGATTTGTTGGGGAGCTGCAGCTTACTACTATGGTTGTGCTTGTCTCACTAATGCTGCATCTTTCTGTTTTCTGTAATGATGCCCATGGTGTGTGTTGGGGTAGCACTTCAGGCTTTTAGCAACATGTCTGCCATTCTGGAGTAACACCAGAAAGAGCTGGTTTACTCGGGTAGGTTCTTTCTTTACACCTTGAACACTGGCCTCTTCCATATGCCCAGCCAGCTGATATATAGGATGTGTCCTGCTATGTCCTGACTGTTGCCATACACTTTGCAGTTATTTGCATCCATACCACGTGAGAGTTGAATGCTGCCATTTTAACAGAGCAGCATCTTATGCCTGTGATTGCCTTAGTAAAGGGGAGTAGAGAATCCAACCTATGCTCTGGGTTTGGATTTGGGTCTTCTCTATACAGAGGTCAATAAACTGGAATCTAGTTGCCTAAGATGGACCTTGTTGATCAGCAAAATCGGACATTTATTTTCTATTCTTTGCTAGAGCTCAGAAAAGAAACCAAAGTTCCTGAACCCCAGGACTATATCCGCCCTGACTCCTACAGGCACTTTACTGCTCGCTTCAAAGCATCTGTGCTCCCCAAGGTAAGAATTGCCCTAGTGCTGGGTAGCTGGGCTGGAAAAAAGCATACAAGTTCCTTTTTATTGTCTTGTGTGTGTGTGTGAAATATAAAAAAGATTTTATTTTTATATAGATAGATATATTAACATTAGTGTTGCTTTCTGCTATGATTGCAGGTGATTTGGCAATGATCTTTCCATGCCAGCAAAAGCAGGTGTTTCTCAGTTGTGTTTCCCCTTAGCAAATCTGCATATGTTTGGCTTGAAAGCAATTGAAATGTTGTGCATCATTGACAGGGAGAGAGAGCGTGTTGCATTTTTGTCAGCATCTTTGCATATATGTTTGAATGCAGGTACCTTTCCCAGCCTTTCCTACTCCCCCCACAGTAGATGATGCAAACTTAGCCCACTTGGATATAGGCTTTATTAACAAACAAAACAATAAGAAAAGCTGAAGGTCAGCTTGGTCCTTCTCACTAGGCTTTGCTGCTTCAGGCTTCCCCTCAGGATTATTCAGCCCACACATTCAGTCCTCTCTCCTTGAAAAAACTACCCCTCCCTCCCTTGTATCCAGGTAAATAAGCATAATCATCAATATCCATAGAACCCGCTTCATCCTTTCCTAGCAGGATTAGCACCTGTTCCTGAGACATACCAATGTTGCCAGGCTGTTACAACATACTTGCTTGTGTGTATGAGCGTGTGGTTCTGTTTGTGTGATTGTGCTGGTGTTTTTTTACTTGTATATGTATAAGTTTGCACATAGGTGTGCATCTGTCTGGCTGTTTAACTGTGTGTATTGGCATGAATTGGTGCGTCTGTGGGTGTTGTTCCTGTGCAAATCTTGAGACTTTAACTAGAATTGTCTTTCCTTGCAGACTTTCTCATCCCTTCCAGCTGGTAACGAGGTCCTGAAACTGAAGGCAGTGGTTGGCTACAATGGAAATGGCAGGGGGAATATGCTCTGGAACCCAGACACAGGTACTCTTGCTCTGTGACTTTGGGAAGGGGGTGAGCATGTGAAATGCAAAGATATGTTATGCAGTTGGACAAGTTGAATAGTCTTGCTGCCATTAAGTTTACATCCTTGCTGTGCTGCAGTGCCTGTTTTGTGCAATAGGGGAATCAGTGATCCTTATGTGATATCATCAGGCACTAGCTAATACAGGCAGAGCCTTTTGACAAAATGAGATCCTGCCTTCAGTTGAGAGAGAGAGGGGGGTGGGTGGGGAAGGGAGCTATTTGCTATATAGAGGTCATCTCACCTTATATTGAAGCTATCATGAATCTAACCTGAAAGCATTGTTACATGTAACTGAAGATGCAAAAGAGCGGTTTGTTTGTTTGGGGGGGTCCTGCACCAAAGTTACAGGAATAGATGTTTTTACCTATGCCACCCTTTTCTGAGAGGAAGGTATCTAAGGGCTAAGTTGACAAAAAATAATCTTAAAACACTTGAAAGAGGAGTTACATTCATTTCCTTATATCCGAGGTGTAAATTACGTTGAGCACTGTATAGGTATGCTCTTAAAACCTCCAGGCAGACCTGTCCTTATTGCTTCTCTGTACCTTGCACTGACCAGGTTTATTCGCCTATACCTGTGGGTCTGTGATTGTGGTTGAAGACCTGCACTCAGGATCGCAGCAGCACTGGCTTGGCCATCCAGAGGAAATCTCTACTTTAGCAGTTAGCCATGATGCCCAGGTATGAATATCTTGGGATCCTTTTGAGAAGGGTTGATTCTTGTACATCTATATCATTGCCCTTGACTGAATGGACTTTGTCTGAATAAACTGCTATATTTATGCTTTTCCTCTTCTACCTGAACTACTCTGTAGCTGGGGAGTTGGGCTTAGGGAGCTAAAACAGGTGTGCCTTCTCCCTAGGTCATGTACTTGTGACTAGCTATTACTTATGCTTACTGCATGTGACCATGAACCCTGTTCTCTTTTGTAATATAGCTTTCATCAGATGTTGTTGCCATCTTTATAAATTTGCAGACTTTTCCTTTTGTCAACTGTATGAGTTTACTTCTGGTTTAATGCTAGGGCCAGTTGTTGTTTTTTCCTACAAGACACTCTGTAGTTTCTTATTGAGTCCCCAGTTGTGACATTGTTTTTCCAGGTTCTTGCTTCTGGCTCTGGTCAGGGAAATGGAGATTCTCGCTGTCAAATCCGCATCTGGAATGTACAAGAGGGGACTTGCCAAAAAGTTCTCTTCCACCACGAGACGCAAGTGCAGGCCATGGCATACTCTTGGGATGATAGGTTCCTTGTTACACTAGGTCAGTATGCCTGTACCTATAAAGTGTTTGGGTGCGTACGGATTCTCCTCAGGACAGCTAAACTGTGTAGGGACATTGTTTTGAGTGTGTGTGGGTTATCCTGGGAGTTTAAACTAGCTGTAGGGATAGAGTGGGGCCTAGTGTGAAGATGCCCAGTTTCTGCTGGGCATTTGGGTATCTCCAGAATGTGCATGCAGTATAAAAGGGTCATTTTTCTGCTGTGTGTAAGATCCTTTGGTTGAGATAGGATTCTTTCAGTGGTGGACTCTATATCCAAGGGAAGCTTGATATAAGGGAATACAATGCAAACCATTCCCCAAAAGATCAGCTCCCCAGAACTGGGGTTTTAAGTGGGGAAGTTGTTTCTTCACTGGAAAAGAAACAAGCCTGGACACATTGTTTGTGAGATGCAGCTGCCAAGATGGCACAATCCTGTGTTAACCGCTTCAGAGCCATAGCTACTGGTTGAGTTCTGTAAGTAGTGTCTGAAACAGCAAGTAAGCTGCTGGTAATATCTTGATGAGGCTTGTGATGTGGAAACAACACTTTATTTACAGGAACTTTTATAAAGAACTACTTACAGTAAAGAACTGACAGTCTTTCTCTTCTTTGCAAGGGTCCAGGGCCTAAGCTTGGGTGATAAAGTAAGTCCTCCTGGAAATGTATTGTGTCCAGGAAGTGTGGCATCCCTGGAGACATGAGTGGTTTGTGCCTCCTGAATCTGGAGGGGTACCCACAGAAGCCACTGCTGGCAACAGCCCTGTCGGGGGGGGGCACCAGCCCTACCAACAGCATCATTGTTGGCCGTCAGGGGGGGCACGTACATCCCCTACCAGTTGCCTATGCCTGGGGACAGTCTGGATGAGCCAGCTGGCAGGAGGAACATCCCGATGCCCCATTCCCTACATGGTCCGTGTTCCCAGGAGGTTTATTCTGTCCCACAGTTAGCCATGACTCTGCAAAAGTCTTTTTCCTGCACTCTGACTTTCAGAAATAAGGTGTGTGTGTGTTATAGGAAGGTGTGTTGTATATAAAAAAAATACAGTAGCAAAGAGAATTGTGGTTTAAGTTGTGTCCATGTTAAGTGTGGGTGATTCTGTGCACTGATGCATTCTGCCAATGGTGTACATGCACTCAGTGCACTTGGGTTAGAATCTTTATGTAGCAGTGCTGCCAGGGGAGCCATGAGATCTGTATGTCCTTGTACTAAAAGGGCATGGTCACACCACCTCCTTTTCTGTTCGTTCTCACCACCTTAGTGAGAGCTGGACCCCATGTTTCTCCCTGAGTACATTTTCTTCCCTTGGCTAGTCCATACCTGTTGTCCTAACTGCAAATACGATATTTACCTGAATAGAAGACGAGCCTGAATTTAAGATGTCCCCCCCAATAATTAGATCCTATTCATGGAATATTTATACATTTGTTATAATTTTCCATGTATAGAATCTAATTATTGGAGGATTGTCTTAAATTTGTACTCCCTGCCATTGCACATTGGGGGGAGGGAGCAGTAATGGGGCAGGTGATGGGGGAGACCAGGGGGTATGTAATAGGGCAGGCGGGTGATGAGGAACAGTGGAGTAGGCATGCAGCTTGCCCCCTTCTGCCAGCCCCCCCTCCACTTATCCCTCTTGTGCCTGCCCCCCACAGCAGCTTCAACCCCTCCCCCCTTCTCCCCTCCATGCAGCTTCTGCCTCTGGCAGCCCTAGGTCTCTACCCCCTCCCCTTCTCTCCTCTGTTGTTTCTGCCTCTGCAGCCTTGGGTTCCTCTCCTTCCCCATTCTCCCCATCCTCCTCCTCCCACTTGCCCCTACAGTTCCCCCTTACCTTTGCTCCAGCACCAGCATGCTCCATCCCTGCTGCAGCCTGGGACATGGAGCGCAGCTCCAGCCCCCATACCAGGCATGGAGCCAACTCTGCTGCTACAGGACTGGGTCATGCTCTGTGCTCCAGGCTGCAGCAGAGACAGAGCCTGTGTTGTGAAGCAAAGACAAGGGGGAGGAGCGGGGAGAAGCAGTGTGGCAGGGGAGGAGTGGCAGAGGTGGGGGTTGAGGGAGGGGGGGGCAGGGAGGCAACAGCTGTCTGCCCTGTGCTGCTACATACTCAATAGTAAGACATGGGGCTTCCCCCCCATGTTACATGGGGAAAAAACCTCCACTTTTAACTGAGTAAATGTAGTAGTTTTCATAATCCTCTGTAATAATTTACTTTGTTTGTCTTTGTCATTCTGTCTGTCATGCTCAAAAAAACATATTTGCACTCACTTTTCTGGACTTTTAGTGATTGATTTCAATTAGTTATGGTGTACTCTTGGTATCAGAGCAAAAATTGTCCCTTAACACCCTTACTTTAATCCATAACACCGTTACCAAGGTGAAGCAGACAATAGAAAGCAATTGAAAGCAAAAAGAATGGCAAGAGCAAGACGAAACAAAACAAATGAGCGAAGAGGACATCGTAGAAGAGATGCAATGGAAAGGCAAAGGGTTTGTAGAGGCAATAGAAGACAGGCTGAAAGAGTAGGCAACAATAGATTCACTGAAGACAAGATTGAGGAACATAGTTGTGGATTGATGAACGTGATGCACCAGTTTTGTAATTCTTTAAACTTCCAAGCTGAAAGACCGTCAGATGGCCAATTCCATAGTTGTTGTCGTAAGGGTAAAGTGATTCTGCCTCCAAAAAGACAGTTTCCAGAGTATTTGTGGGATTTGATGACAAATCGGAACAAGCTTTACCAGAGCTTTAAAACAAACATTTGATCGTACAACAGTGCATTGCTTGTTGAGCAAAGATCATGTTGATGAGATGTATGATTCACAGACTGTGTGGAGAATTGAATCCAAATGCACCGTGCACAGAAAATCATCAGTGTCTGAAGAAATATCTGAAGGAGTTTAGAGAAGAGACTCTTGGAAATGTTGATGGATACCCGTTGTATAGAAGACCAGGCAGAAGAGCGCAAGTTGGTAATGACACAATGGATAACAGAAACATGATGCCCTATGACAAGTAGCCTATTTTTCCCGTCATTTTTGACAGGCTGTTATTCTAGTTACTGTATAAATTGTTTCTTTGTAGGGAGTCTTTCTTCCTGATTTCCTGGATTTCAGTAAAGCCAAGTGGTCCATCATATTAGCTTGGTTAAGGCTATACCGACTCATGTAGCCAGCAGCACACAAGGGAATGATGTGATCTTGCATCACATCCTGACTCTTCTGCACAAATGACCAGGTAGAGTTTACAGCTGAGCCAAGTGAGGGCAACCTTCTCCATGAGTCCAGAGTGAGGTTTGACCTTCCACCAGTGGATCCATAAGGAAGTATCATAACTGCACTGCCCTAACAGCCCTATTTCCTGAACTTACTTAGCTGTAGTTATGCGGGTCTGAAACAGCATGCCTCCTGCAGACCTGTGGCACCTGTGAATGATGGATGCACAAGCAGTTTGTTTTGTGTAGGCAAGGCATGCTTGAAGGTCAAGTACTCTTTGTAAGTCATCCTTGTCTTACACAAGAAAATGTAGTGAGGATTGCTGGAGCATTCCCTGTTGGAAAAAGCTGTGTGCCTCTTCTCAGACCATGTTAATCTGCCCCAAGAAAAGCCAAGCACCTCCTAGGGAGGAGTAGTACCTGCCTTCAGTTCCAGGTTGATTTGTGAAAGTGCTGAAAGAGTCTTCTGATAAGGCTGAATTAAGAGCAAAAAAGACCGTCTTATCTTCCCCAGAAGTCATTCCTCATAAACTCTATCCCTCAGCAGCTCAAGAAGCTGGAAAAGCTGTTGGCTCTGGTGCCAGAATATTTGTCCCCATGAAGGCCGGCATATTCTTCATCCTCCTCTTCAGAGGAGACAGTTTCTCCAAAGGTGCTACTACCCCTTTGCTTCCTGACAGAGTTTGTTAGGATCTTGTGAAGGAGGATAGCTTTGCCCTTGAAAACCAGCAGAAGTAATTCAGGAAACCCCAAAGAAACAGTTAGACATTCTGCAAACCTTGGCTCTAATGACAGGGCTGTTCCTCACAAAGTCGTCCTTGAGGCAGCTAGTCTGATGGCAGACATCAACTTCTCTCCTGTTGTCTCTCTAGAAAGACCAAGAGGCAGTATCAGGTTTCCTGCCAGGGATTCAAGCAGCTTATCAAGAGATCACGGGGCTCTTGTAGTGGCAGCTGTGAATTAGCACTCAAACCAAATTGTACTGCTGACTGACAGTTGTGGGGGGATTGACACTTTAGGCAGGACGTTAGTTGGACCCGGCTCTGCAGCATCTGTAGAGATCAGGTGCTTCAGCAGGGCTTTTTGGCACTTTTATTCAATCAGCTATTAGATAAAAGCACCAAAAAGCTCTGCTGAAGTGCACGATCTATACAGATGCTGGTCGAGCCGGGTCTCGCTAACGTACTGCCTTTTCTGGCTATGTGTTGGGCTCGGCGTCTGAAAGTAAAGCCACCAGGATTTTTTTTCCACATTGGTAAAAAGATAGCTTTGTTGGTGAGTGGTGGTGAGCAGCGATGAATAACACCACCGGCCGCGTGGTCCTCCGAGGTGGCTGGGTGATGCAGACCTTTCCCTCGCTAAGGCACAGCTCCACAGAGTTTTCTTCAGTTTCTGGCATAGGCAGGGTAGGAGCAGACAGAGAAATGAGGCATGGCCTCCAAGACAGGCACTGGAAGGGCTGGGGGGGAGGCAAGGAGCTGTGGGTTGGAAGTGCAGGCACCAGCAGGGCTCGGAGGGGTGAGGGGCTGTGGGTCAGGAGTGAAGGGCACCAGTGGGGCTGGGGTTTGGGAGTGAGGGACACTGGCAGGGCCAGAGGGCTGGGGGTCAGATGTGAGGGGCACCAGCGGGGCTGTGGGGGCTGTGGTTTGAGAGTGAGGGGGAACTGCAGGGGCAGGGGCGGGGCACTGGTATATCAAGGCTGCTCAGCTCCACAAAGCAACAAGGGGGGACAGCCACTGCTGGACCCGCATCCTGGTGAGTGAAGAGGGCAGGTGAAGCTCTGGTTTTCCATGATTAAAAAAAACAAAACCAAAATCAAATGCCAAAATAAATAGGTATTTAGAATTTCTTTTGTTATAATGATTAAGGCACTGGTAAGCTTCCAAATTCCTTTAAAATTATAAATATATCAATAAAACTTTGTATTCAACTGATATGTGTGTGTGTGTGTGTATATATATATATATATAGAGAGAGAGAGAGAGAGAGAGTTATTTATTTTAATCATGGAAAAATGTGGATTTTGGGGTTTTTTAAATCATAATTTGTAATGGGGTGTTTTTTGGGGGGAGGAGGGGGGTTAAATCAGAGAATTTGTGATTTTTAAATGGAGGAAACCAGAATCCCTGTTGACTAAGCTAGAATTGAAAATTTGTCATTGGAGACTGTAACTTCTTAATTCTCAGATAAGATCCCTTCCTTCATATTGGGAGTTATCTGTCCCTTTTCCACAATCAGTATAATATCAGGCAAGTCTTTCATGGTTCCACTAAATCAGTGGTTCTCAACTTTATTGGTCTTAAGGCATCCCTCAAAAATTGCCAACTTGGCTTTCACTCATTTTTAACTATGGAGAAAAGAATTCTGTTGCAAAGAATTCAAGATCACAGCAGATCAGAATGTTTTTGGCACTCTGAATTCATATTTGAAATCTCTGGGTTTCTCTTGTGAATCACGTGTAGGTGTTTGCACACCTAACAGTGCTAATATTGTGCAACACCCTTAAAAGGATCTTGTGGTACCTCAGGGTGCTGCAACTCCTGGTTGAGAATCAGTGCGCTAAACTGAAGTGCTACCATCTGCCTTGACACCTACTGAGGGTCATCTTGAGTAGAATGTGTACTTGCATGATGACTTGAATAAGGACAAGCCAGTTACCTCTTGTTGTTCTTTGAGCTGTTGTGCAGTCCACATATGCATTTCAGACTTTCACAAGAGCAGTCCCCCTCAAAGAATATTGCAGTATTCCCCCTCAAAGAAATGCAGAGGGAGTCAGAACAGTTGTGTTGTAACACAGGTAAGAACATGAAGACACACAGAATGCACTAGAGTCTCTAGCTTGAGCGAACAGGGTGGCACATACCTACACTTGAATGCGTATGTGCACAGTGTACCTCAGTTGTTGTAGTGATAAGGAATCTTTCTCTCTTACTCTCTCATCATGCATAGGAGACTACAATGACCGAACTATTGCCCTATGGAGCACCCATACTCTTGACCTAATGACATCCACCCGTTTCTCAGAACCAGTCCATGATGTAGCCTTTAACCCTCTTTCTTCCGGTGAGCTTTCCTGTGTAGGAAGGGGAGCAGTGACTTTCTGGCTAATGGAACAGTGTGGAGCTGACATCAGTCTTAAGGTACATTGCAGCTTTATAATTTCTTTTTTCTACTGTACCAGCCTTTTACCCTTTTTAAAGCTTGTGTAGCAGTGGAGATGAAGTACTCTGACACTGCCAATCTAGGCCTGTGAAAGCTATTTGTTTCTTTTAGTAAAGTGATCCTGACTGCTTGTGACTTTTTTCAGGCATGGTTGAAGCATTGACTGAATAACTTTATTTGTGAGTTACTTTATAACTACAGAATATCAAGGTCATTCTGACCTTGATGTTTCTTATTCATGTGACAGGTTCATAGAGCACCCATCCCTGACATGGTAGGACCAGTGGAACTGACGTCCCTCTGCTACAGCACTAACTATCTTCTCTATACTGGGACCAACACAGGCCAGATCTGTGTGTGGGACACTGAGACAAATCGTTGCTTCATGACTTGGGAGGCTGATGAGGGTGAGATTGGTGAGTACAGATGCTGCATGCTTCTGCCAGGATCATGTCACAAGTGCCACATAGATCCATAGACAAAGAGAAGCCTTGGCTTTGCTTGACTCCAATTCCAGCTGTTTCTCTGTTCTCAAATGGTTAGCTGCTACGGCAGATGCTAGAATAGGTGGAGGTAGATTCATGCCACCACTGGTGCTGTTCTGGTGCTGTCGCTCCACTTCTTGGCAAATACTGTGAGGGCTGGGTTTGGTTGTCAAGTAACAGAAACCACTGGATAACAACCAACAGACTTATGGGTTTAAGTTTGCTGGTAAAACCACTTCTACCTTTCCCACAGTTTCACCAGAAACAGGCTGGTAGAGACCCTTTGCTCCTAGCTGATAATCACAAAGTATGGGTATTTGTGTAGTGCTCTTCATTTCCTTTCTGGTTCTCTAGGTGTCCTGGTGTGCCATGGCAACAAGCTGGTTAGTGGCAGCAACACTAAAAGAATCCGACTATGGTCAGTGGCATCGGTGCAGGAGCTGAGGCTGAAAGGCTCTGGTGCTAGGTGAGGTGACTTTTGTGTGTGGGCAGTGTCTAACTCCTGTTTGAGTAAACCTAGAGAGAATACATGATGGCACAAACCTGATCTATTTGATTTACTCTTGAGATATGTCATCTCCTTCTTGCACTCTCTGAATTTATCTTAGGTGGTATCATTTCAGAGAAAGATGAGGACTTTTTACTATTCCATAATATCACTTCTCATTGCTTTTTATTTTTAACTCCTCTAAATTTTTATGACATGGTTCCTTCAGTCTGGATTCCCTCTGGAAGCGTAAGGTAGAAATTCCTGGCTGTGCAACTTAGACATGGCCCACAGTAAAGTTATTAACTTGTCCTTCAGCTTGATAAAATTTGGCTGACTTAGTCTAGCTATGAAATGCCAAGGAGAAGGAAATTTCCTACTTGTAACTGCAGCAGAATATTTCCTGCTCACTGTAGCCTTCTAGTTAGTCTTGCTTCTGTTGTCATTCATTGCCCTGGCATCACTTAAAACGTATAGTTTTATTTTTCCTTTAAATATTGAACAAGACAATGCTGGATCAGTATTCCTACTCCCACAGTTCAGAACTCATGTGTGGTTTTGACTTACTGTTAAGCCAATTTAGCTTCTGTTGCTTTATTTAAACTTGACCATGTTGACAGCTAACCCTCTTACATCACAAACAGTTTATGCATATCACATTTTTTCAGGTTTCAGCTTTTTCTGACTTCAAGCTTTGCAATAAGAAATATTTGGGATCAATTTAAGGAGGCATAGCAGATTGTCAGAATAATCCCCAGAGAGACTTTTGCTCATCTTCCCCCATGGAGATAGTGGCTGCCTTTAACTATACATTGTAACTATCTTAAATTCTAATAAGCTGTCATTGCAGTTTTTATGAATATCTAGTATGAATATCTAGGTAAAGCTAACCTTGTCCACCAGAAGGCTACCTCCTCAGTTCTCCAAAGAAGTGGATAGTAGTTGTCCCCTATCTGTTTAATGTCATAGGCATTTATTTTGTGCAATCCTTTCCCCCAGGTCTAGCTCAGTCCTTTTGGAACATGAGATGACCCTAGATGGAACAATAGTTAGTGCAACCTTTGATGATTCTCTGGAAATGGGAATTGTGGGCACCACTGCAGGAACATTGTGGTACATCAACTGGGTGGATAACACAAGCATCCGACTAATCAGTGGACACAAGAACAAGGTTTAAAGGGATTGGAAAGGGGGGAATTTGGTGTTGTAGGGTTGTTTGTATGTTGTGTGCTGCCAGGCTGCAGAAGTGATTGGTGGGCCCAGCTGAGAGAATATGTGCTAATGCCCACTGGGGCACTGTTGAGAAAAATCTCACCGTTCTTGCCCTGTAGAAAGATAGTCTTGTAGCTAAAATTGGGACTTTTAAGTCAGGAAATTTGTGTTTCCCTCCGTGATTTGCAACAGATCTCCTTTAGGATTGTGGGCCCGTCAGTTAACAGATCCGTGCTTTTCTCCTTGAGTGAAGGGGAAATAGTTCTGAGACTTAATTTTTGGTTTCTAGAACACTGAGACCTCAAATAAAAGATTAACTGGAAGTACTCTCTTACTTATTAGCTAGACTTTTTTCTAATGGATAAAGTTGTTTCCATTATTAGCTCAGTTAATTCAGAGCACCATTACCTCTAGCTTTCTTTGAAAGAAAAAGAAAAATCCTATCTCCTTCAAAGTTCTTATATGTGGTCTCTTACCAGAGAACTTGGTGGAAACTAGCTACAGATGAGACTAGGAACAGATATACACCGTGCTTCACCATTTGTAAAGTATCTGTGTTGAATCATCTTTGTTACTGCAGGTAAATGAAGTGACATTCAGTCCTGGTGAGTCTCACTGTGCCACCTGTGGTGAGGACGGCAGTGTGAGGGTTTGGTGTGTGGCCAGCATGGAGCTGGTGGTACAGTTTCAAGTGCTGAACCAGGTAATCACTCAGTGTCCCGGGTTGTCTTGATAGTAGCCCTTGCCTGCTGCCTTGTGGCTCTCCAGTGCTGGTCCATTCCATGTCTTCATGGAGTAAACTAGAACTGAAAGAAGTTATTTGTAATGGAAGCTTTTTGGAATCAAAGCTGTGTAAATGCCTTTGTTGCATGTGAGCAGCAGTAACACATGTATACATTGCTCCTCTTTGTAGAGCTGCCAGTGTCTGGCTTGGAGCCCTACCTCTATCTCCCGTGGTGGGGATGAGAATCAGCATGTTGTGGCAGGGTACAGCGATGGCACCCTCCGTGTGTTCAGCATTTCAAGGACAGAAATGGAGTTGAAAATGCACCCCCATGCTGTTGCACTGACTGCAGTTGCCTACTCTGCAGATGGTGAGGTCATTCATTGTTGTCCATAACTGATATGCAGCTGTTGCACCTATGAGCATGGCACTGGCCATACAGCTCTGCTTCTCTTTGCTTAGGAAATCCAAATGCAGCTCTGACCCCCAGCCTTTCTGGTACTTAGTGAACATCCCCAGACCTAGGGAAGACAGGGTGGCAGGTTCTCAGTTGAAGAATTAGTCAGTGAAGCTGTGCCATTTTATGGCAGCTTAGTGAAACTGTGCCAGGTGATGCTAATTTTGGTAAAACTAGAATTTGGAACATGATGAAAGCTTCCTTTGGGCTTTTCTGCTTAAAGCTTTTCTTTCTAAAGTAGCACTTCAGAGTAAATTAAACACCCTTGTGATATCCCATTTTCCCTCCTCCACCCCCTGGAATGTATTTGGGAAGCTTAAGTTGCAATCTTTCCCTTTTTGGCCTTTTCTGTTTCTACGGAAAGTTGCCTAGGGCTCTCTTCTTCCCCCATCTGCAGGAGAAATCATCTTATCTGGAAGCAGGGATGGGCTAATAGCTGTCAGCAGCCCTCGGACTGGAATGACCATTCGTCTCCTTACTGACCACAAAGGATCCCCCATCTCTGTTATTCAGTGCACAGGGAAACAGGTGAGTGCTGAGCCTGGAGTCCTGTTGCTCTTACTGTAGAGCAGGGTCTCTGACACTGGTAAGCCACAGCTATGATGTGATACATACTTGAGCCACATGAGTTAGTGTGCTGCTTAATTTGTTTTCCCTCTTCTTATTTTCCTCCCCCAGCATGCACTCCCTCCAAAGTATCTTGTTCATTTGGGTAAGGAGCATCTTCAATAGAGCAATATCAAGTTTGATGAAGTTCAGGCCCTAACTTTCATATGTGCAGAGTGGCTGAAATGCAGTTCTAGATGTTTGCATGTCCAACATGCATTCCACTTCATGAGTGCACTCAAGCCAGAAACTTTTGGCCATCAGCACCAAATCAAGCAAAGCTAGTTAGATTCCATGTATTAACCAAAAAAACATGCATTGAACAGACTTATTCACATACTTACTGGTCTTGTCATTGTTAAGCTGATGGATGAATCCAGACCATGTTTTCAAGGTGGTTACCTGTCCCTCTTCTCTCCCAGCCAAAATATTAGTGCTCCTGGCAGTGGAGCACAAACCCACAAGTTTGTGGACCAGCCAAGAACAAATTCTCCACATAAACTTCTGGGAGTTGAGGGCCATGCATCCGGCATGTGAGGCTTTTCTTCCATCTGTCAAGTGCAAACGACAGAGAAGGCAACTACAGTGTTTTTCTTGAACAAACAGCTAGGAGCAAGTTGCAATCCCCCTGCCCAGAATCCTTGTGTAGGTTCAGAGCTTCTGAATTGGCAGTGCTTTCCCCAGGTGTGGAGTGCTCTACCAGAAAGTGATCTCTGACAAACCTCCTGCAGAGACAAGTTGTCCCTGAAGTGACAGCATGGCCAGTATTCCAGAAGTGGTTTTTCATGACAGGGTCCTATTTGAGATTACAGAAAACAGAAAGTATCACCATTTCTGTTCTAGGGTTGGTCATGCCAGATTTTGTAATAGAGACACTTGCTTTCCTGAGGATCAGTGTTCTGCATATGCATTTCCCCTAACACCCATGGTTGCCAGGGTTACCTGGAAGTTGAAACAAGAAAGTGGTGGGAGAAGTCTGATAACCTGGACTTGGCTGAGGCAGCAATTTTGATTCTCTGATCTGCAAAACTTCTGACATTGATCTTCATCCAGGACGTAGTGTTGTGGAACCCTGGCCAAATTCTGAACTTTGCTCTTCAGTCAGTTTTTACCTCCTGTCTGGATATTGAGGGCCTAACTGCACCAGGAAAACTGCATCTGTATAAAGAACCCTGACTAGCTCTAGGAAAAACTTGACTAGAGCATCTTACCTTAGTAAAGGAAGAGATTTTTCCATCCAAACATTCCTCTCTTGCCTTTGTCCAGAATGCAGGTTCAAAACCGTCCAGAACATGAGGTCGGGATAAAAATGGCCTCTCAAAAGGTTGCCTGGCAGCTATCTTAATTGAAACTCCTGTGCAAGGGCAATCTACGTTCTGGTATTTCAGAGTAGGAGGGTTTATAGAAAGATTGATAAGGGTTTACCTGCCCCTAAGGGCACTGGTCCCTTAGGACCTTCACTTGATTCTGAAGAACTTTATGGGTCAAGGCTTTAAGCTCTGTCTCGTTAGTCTGCTAAGAAAGTTTTCATAGCAACAACAACATTGGCCAGGATAGTTAGAAATGCATGCTCTGACGATGAGTCCCCCAGGATAAAGTTTTGTTAAGGCTTTGTCCTAAATCCTACTCCAGCTGTGTTATGAGATTTCCATCTGAATCCAGTGGGTACTGCTGACCAGATGGGTCTGGCTGAACTGTGCTTGGCATATGTACATCTGAAATGGAATACTTTTGTGTACAACACAACTTGGAAAACAAGTTATGTTACAGGTTAGAAATAGTTTCTTTCACCACATAGGGAAACAGAATGCCTAATAACCTGCTGCTGACTTCTCACCAACAAAAGTGACACTTGAAGCACCAGAAAAACTCAAGAGGTTCTGCTTCAAAAGCAACAAATACTTGCATTCACTGTGCCATTGGAACAAAAGAGGGAATGTGGTGCCTTTATTAGAAGAGACCACAGTAGCACTGGCCAGAGCCCAACATAATGGGGTTAGACGCAATATTTCTCTCCCAGCAAATTTCTCCTTCAGCCCTGAGCAGAGAGCCAGTTATATCACAAACTGCTGTGTTGTCCTCATGTCCACAGTGCTAGTCTGAGGCATTAAACATTTTTCACTTGTGATAAGAGACTTAAGCACTCTTGTCCAGACAGAAAAAATATAGTGTATTAATCCTCTGTTATTAATCCCTTGTTACTTAAAATCTTAGTGCTGATAAACTTTGTCCTCTGTCAGTCTGTGTCAGTTTGCAGCTTTATCTTAAAGGTCTCCTGTGCCATTTCTCTGCTGTATTAATGTGGTCATAACTGTGCTTGTATGTTTGGCAGTACCATGACTTTGGGGTGGAAGGTTGTGAACTCTGGTTGGCTGCAAGCTCAGATCGACGTGTCAGCATCTGGGTCTCTGACTGGCTAAAGGATAAATGTGAGCTCATTGACTGGCTAAGTTTCCCAGCCCCAACAAGCCCTGAGGTAAGAGTAAGGTTTACTGACTGATAGGCACATGCAACATTATTACCAGGGCCAGGTGTAGCTCAGACCCCTGCAGCACACTTGCATTGTTACCTGTATGCATTGTTACCTGTATGTTACTTGGGAGCTGCTTGTAATCAATGTTTACTGAAGCAGATCAGGGGGCATTTTTAACTTTCCTTTAAGATGAAGATTTGCACTGTGAATCACTGTGCTGCGTAACCACTGAGAAATATTTGCTATGTAAGAACTGCAGCTCTTAAAATTTGATTTACAAACTGTTGGTACCCTGTGCTGTACAAAACACAGGCACAGGATTTTTCTGAATAAATGAGCCAGGAGTCAGTAAGGTCAGTACAAAAAAGAGCATACTAATTACAGGCTTTCAGCTAAGTTTGCCACTCAGAAATAACATTAATATTCTGAGTAAGCATCCTAGCAATTGAGTAAGTAAAAATAACCCAGATATGCCCATATTAATTTTATCATCTGTATAAAACATCCAAAGTGTGCATGGCACTTCACAGAGTGCTAAGGCAGGACCCTGCCTAGAGCTTATGTTCCAAATTAGATGCAAGATCTAGGACAATCATTCAGACATCAGGTGTAGAGATCTTGGTGAGGAGGCTGCTGGAAGAAAGCTTTGGGAAAGAAATGGGGTTAG